CTCTCTCTCTCTCTCTCTCTCTCTCTCTCTCTCTCTCTCTCTCTCTCCCTCTCTCTCTTTTAGATCTTACAAGTGTCATGTGTTGGTTCAATGCATGCTACTCTCTCCGTGAGCTTTGTCTCACTGGAAACCCAGTCCTTCAGGAAACAAGCTGGAGGTAAGGAACAATTTTAACCAGTGAATATCCTATTTATCATTTCTTGGGGCAAAATATGGTACCAAATTTCCTTGAAAAATCATTAAAGTTACCTGAATAGTTTATGTTATCTTTGCTCATTATAAAACATCATTATCATAAAATATTTTCTCACATATAGATTTTCTCACATGGAGTTAATGCAAATTTGAAAGTATGATTTTCATGCAAGTAGTTGATGAAAAGTACAGTTATTATTGAATTAGAGAACAAACATTTTCCACCAATTTCTTGTGAGTCCGGGTAACCATCTTAACTTACTATTTCAATTATTTCTTTCCGAAAGTTGGATTGATAAAGTAAAACTGATGAATTTCTTACTTAAAAACTGAGCCTGTCAAATTTCAGTTAGATCAATTGTTCTAATATACATTCCATTATCTAAAAGAAGAGATTCATTTATCTAGAGGGTTTAAAATCAAGAAGTCTATAAAATATGGATTTGTTAATGAAAGGACTCAGGCAACTTGGATACAGTTAGTTTCAGTGAACTTTACATAACCTCATGGTACCAACAAAGGGATTAGTTATAGATTTTCCCAATTGGTTTCTTACTTTCATGTCAAGCCAGTGATAACATGCAAAAAAACTGATGTACGGGGGGGAAAAAAACTCTTTTAAAACATAATCCACAGGCAACATTTGAAATCTCCTTTGAGAATTTGTTTCATTGACTGATGATTAATGGAGCTTGGTAAGTGGCAGAATATGCACCAGGAAGTTTTCACTAAATGAAATATTGATTTGGCCCTCGAGTAGGAGGAGCCCAGCTGGAAAAACTAATCTTGAAATCTCACAGTGTTCTTATACTTCATTCCCTACATTAATCAGCCTTCTCATATATTCCCCATAAGCTCACGTGGCTGACTGCTGAACTTAGGGACAATCCACACACTGTTGTCTTTTGCAGGTCTGAGGACTGCTCCCTTCAAAAATTAAGGGAAAAAAACCCTGTTTTTCAAATAAGTAAATCCATTATGAATCTTGACTATATGTCTCAGAGATTTTAACATATTGTTTCTATCTTGAACATCCATGCAAATTTTTTACATCGTAAAGAATTTCAAAATATTCTGATTAAAGTGAACTGCTTGGGAAATTTGTGTGTAGAAGTGAGAAAGACAGCTTCAAAATATGCCTATAATAGAAATTCAAGCTCAGTCTTCACCTAAAATATACTCCCTAACAAAAATACTTTATATGCTATTCATGTCATTAGCCAGATGTAAAGTACTGATGATAGAAATACTATTTTGTCCTTTTCTTATCTGGTATTTTCCATATTGAACAGCTGCCAAATAGTGCCAACTGCAATATTTTGAAACACATCTGACATTCAGTGCTTTCCTTAAAACTATTTGATTTTCTTTGTAAAAGAAAAAAATTCTTTAATAATTTCATAAAAATTATTTTTATTCTATTTGCCCCCCTTGCCTTCCAGAATGCATCCACACCTTCCTACCCACCAATCGTAGTACTCTACCTCCTGCCCCTCCTCTCCTTTCTGTCCTCCCCCTCCTCCTCCTCCTCCTCCTCTTCTTCCTCCTTCTCAGTGTATGTATGTGTTGTGTGCTGCATACCTCCTCTTGAGTACAGGACCTGCTCCATAGTATGACTGACTTAGCATGGGCCACACCATTAGAAAATACTGTCTCTCAGTAACTTTCAGGTGCTTATAGCTCCTTGGCTGGGGTGGGATTTTTTGCCCTACCCTCCACCCACCATTCAGGGGCACTATCTGGTTTCGACTTATGCATGCTTTGTGCACACTGTCATGATTCTTGTGAATTCCTACATGCAGTTCACCTGTTGTGTCCAGCAAACACCATCCTGGTAGGAATCCACCAACTCTGGCTCTTCCGATCATCCCACACCCTCTTCCTAAAGAGTCCTGTACCTTTTCTAGAGGGGATCCGCCCTATCTTAATGTCTTGATAAGAATTCCAGGCTTCAAGTAATTTGAGAATATAGAGTTAGTAAAACAGTAATTTTCTCACATTAATTTGTTCATCCTTTTTCACTAGTAAAACTAAATTTTTATCATGATACGTTAATGTCATTAAATAATAGAGCCATACATCTAATTAGTTTATATGCTTATAGTCTTCTTTCAATCCCTTATATGTACTAGTTATCATTAACCTTTTATTGCATATGTATTGTTTTCCCATTTATTGAAAATAGATTCTTTTCTTATATAAAATATATCTTGATTAGAGTTTCCCCTCCCTCTGCTCCCTCCACTTCCTCCCCAACTCCTGTTACATCTTGATCTATTCCCTTGCTGCCAGTCATTGGGAAAGAATAGTTATTTATTTTAAAAATGTTCATTTTTTGAGGATTTCCTATATAAGTGCTATATTTCAGAACTACTGATTCAAACTTTCCTCCCTCCAATTCTCCCATCCCCCATCCCTCCTCAACTTCATGAACTCTTCCTTTTATGTATATTTAAATATATCCCAACACACATATATCTATATATTTAAAATGACTGATTCCATTTAGTATCCCTCATATATACATCCACATACATTTAGAATGATCACTTTTGAATTTGATAATCTAAAGAAGGTTGACTCCCCCTTTTCTGGCAGTCATTATTGGTCTATATCTCTACATTAGTGGATTCTTATGAGATTTCCCCATTCACAGTGTGATCTGATTATACAGGTCTTATTTATCTGGCATGTTTTTATTTTATTTTATGGTTTGGCTTCTATTTTTAAAGTTAAAATATCTATAACTTTAACACTGTGTAGTAGTTAAGTTTCTTCTCAGTAGATACTTTTGCTTTAAAAAAGACATTATTTAGGCATTTTCTTTAGAGGAATAGTATTTGTGCAGATACGCAACCCACAATTTACCAGATGAAGTTTTGGTATCGCCAGGCATTGTGTTTTCAGAGCATTCCAAATACTACGGATACAATGATTCAAGGTCATATGGAGCCATTTCAGAATAACAAATAGGGATGTTATCTCAATTCATGCTTTGGGTTGAATGTCTAAGTCAAAGAACCAATATGTTGGATTTTATGGGTATTATAATACCAGTCCAAGTATTACTTCCTTTTGTTATTTTGTTCTCATTTGGCCAGAATGAGACCTGAGACATGGCTGCTCAAACAGCCTTTTACATTTTTTCAATTGGTCCAATCAAATCGAATCTAGCATCATTTCCTTCTGTTGAAAACTCTGTTCAATAACTTGTATTATTTTGTTCAATGAAAAATTGTTATATTCTAAGATGTATAAACTTTTTAAACCATGTCCTAAGTTATAAGGTATAATAGAAAAATTGAATTACTTTTTCTTATGATATATATGTATACACACGTGTATAATGTGTATGTGTATAATGTATATACCACATAATATGGGTATAATGTATCATGTTATATGTATGTATATACATATATAAACCCCAAAACAACAACAGCAAGCCATGACACACTTCATTCCTTCATTTACTCTAGTCCATTCTGAAGAGTAAGATTTCACACAGGAATAGACTTGGTTCTGGGAATTGATTAACTAAGGGCTTTTGGAAGAGAAGGCAGTGCTCTTAACCTCTGAGCCATCTCTCTAGTCCTCAAAGGTTTGCCTAATTCTAAAGTAAACAACAATTTTCATAGGCATTGTCATTCTATACTTCCTCCCTTTATTCATTTTATAAGAGGGCCATTTTTGTATTGTAAATTTCCAACACGGATTCTCTCATTAGCAATTTGAGGTTACTATTCATTGTAAGATAAAGTTATAGGAGCTGTAAAACTCATCTTGTATATGACAGAATATTAATATTGTAAATTAATATAAACTAAATTTAACTCTTTCCTGAAATAAGCATTGCTTATTATGTGATATTTTATGGTTATTTTAAAACATAAGTCTTTATTAAGATTATTAACTTTTTCCTTGTTTCGAATAGGCATTCTATACTTAAAGTATTACCAGCTCTGAGAATACTTAATGGTGACGTGTTAAATTCTCAGTCTGATGTCCATATTGAGGAACACTACCAGCAAGACCTGGGAGGTTTCTTGGCACTTTGTCAGAACCAACTGGAAGAGTTCAACTTACTAACTGAAAAGTATATCACACAGAAAGGGTAAGATTCTGATTTTCTTTCTGCTTTATTTTAAATAAATAATTTAATGTAAACACATGATTAAATATGTTATGATAATCACAGTGACATTAGTTTGATTAAAGCTGTGTTTCTGGGGCATTTTATACCTTTACTATTATCTAATAGTTATAAATTTATTCAACAATTATTTTTCACAAGATTATGTATCTTTCACGATTTCACAATTGAAAAGAATAAAGAAATTTGAAAACATACAAAGTATATGGCACTAGAATGCCATATTATGCATTTATAATATTTATAAATTATTCTACTACTATATATACTTTGAGAAAGGCTGCCACTGTTTCTACATGTTTGGAGGACAAAACCTGGGAGTTATCCTAATCCATTATTAAAAACTGAGAACTTAATTTTCCTTACCTTGAATTTTGAATACATTACAATGAATGAATTGTACTTATTTTTCTATAACAGAAGTTAAATATTTCATTGTTCCAGAAAACATATGAACATTAATATCATTGTTTCACCTATAATTGTTCCATTATAAAGAAAAAAAGGTAGTATTTTCTTTCCTAATGTTTAATGCAATTACTAATCCATGTATGTTTGTTTATTTAATGCATCTTTATGTTTGAGATTCTAACATAATTATATTATTTCCTATTTTCTTTCCTCCCTCCATGCCTTCCTATGTACTCCCTTGAATGGAGATGTCTGGAACCAGAGTCCATCAGTTTCTCAGTAATTCAGTTGAATTTGCTTTATAATTAGCCAAGAGAGGAAAATTGAAAAACCTCTTTAAATGCTAAACTCTTTTTTATTTAATTGTTGTTACAAATATATATGCCTTTATGTGTGTTTCTCTAAACACACACACACACACACACACACATACTTTTAGTTCATGAATAACTTATCTCTGAATTAAAATGGGCCTAAAAGCTTCAAATCTTTGGTCTTGTTTGACACAGATCTTAATAAGATATTTCAAATTTTGTTCAAAGTAAGATAAAATTGCTATAAATGATTAGAAATGAATTATGATAAAGTGTGTTGCCAATTATAAATGCAATCCAAAATAGTAAATTTTATTTTTAAAACATATATGTCTTTGTATCAATTGGTGTAGTTCTACTTATTTAATGTTCTTCTCTTTTCTGTGTTCAGGGGCGTTCTCACTTTGCATGCTGCAGACAAACTCTGTCACTACTATAAGAACTTAATGAAGCTCAGTCAGGAATGCAGACAAGTACATGAACATGGGGACACAAATATTATCAAGAATCCTGAAGCAGAAACCGATAAAATCCATCCAGCCCTTTCAAACACCAACAGCACACTGCAAATCATGGGCTTTCATTCTCAGACAGACAAATACAAGGCAGATTCACCAGATACTGCTGAAAACCTGATGGACGAATGCTCTAGACCTTCACCAGTAAACTGTGAGGAACCAGAAGGAAGAGGTCAGGAGCAAAATATGACAGAAAAGAATGAACACGGCAGGATGCATAGTCCATCCCCTGCAAGAGTCTCATTCATAGAAATGAAGATGGCAAACTCTCCAATGAGTAATCATCAAAGTAGTGAACATAGTGAAACAAGGTAAGACCCTTCTATTTTGCCAATGTTATAGCTACTGTTTGCATGTATGTCTTAGAAGAGACTTTGGATTTTTAATAGTAAAGAGACTGAAAAAATTATGAGGACTTTGGTATCAGACTACATACATTTTTATTATGCTATGAGCGGTAGGGTTATGGAAATGGAATGTGGTGGTTTCAATGAGATACCTCTGTCTCAGGCACTTGAATCCTGGGTTTCCAGTTGGTGGTGCCTTTGGGTATGTAACATGGGGTGGGGCTGTTTGTTATTTGGGTTTTCTGTTCCGCCCCGGCCATTCTGTAACATGGTGGGGGGGGGGGCTGTTTGTTATTTGGGTTTTTTGTTCCGCCCCATCCCCCAGCTATTTAGTCCCAGAGAAAAATCACACTGAAATCTCTGTAAGTTATAATGCTGATTGGCCCATTAGGTCAGGCTTCTTACTGACTAACTCTCACATCTTGATTAACCCATTTTTCTGATCTATGTTAGCCATGTGGCTTAGTACCTTTTTCAGTGGGGCAGCTCACATTCTGCTGCTTCGGTGATCTGGGCAGGAGTGGGAGGAATCAACTTCCTCCTCCCCAGAATTCTCCTGCTCTCCTTGCATCATTTCCACTTCCTGTCTGGGTTTCCCACCTACACCTCCTGCCTGGCCAATCAGCGTTTATTTAAAACATGATTGACAGAATACAGACAATTCTCCTGCACCATGGGAATGTTTAGGAGTCATGGCTGTTGGGTTGGGATAGATCCTTGACCCCTGGAATGACTTTTTCCAAGCTTTTGTTTGTTGTTCCTTTCATGTACTGAAAAATTGCTTAGTAAGTTTGATTTCAGAGTTTGGAAACTTGGCTGGATAGTCTTGCTGCCAGGGCCCCCTTCCATTTGTTTCAAAGCAGATCAAGCCTTCCCAGAATCTCCTGATTTCTCTCAGTATAAATCTTGGCTGCAAGATCGTTTTCTTTCTCTTCTAACTCTACATTTCTTTTTGACCATTTGCTCCTCTTCTTTGTAGACCTGCACAATAGTGTTTACTAGTCACCACAAGAGACTATCAGTATTAAATCTTTATGCAGTCTCCTCTGACAAATAATTTAGTCTCTTAAATTTTAGAGTTAGCATCAGGAAAGTACTTAGGTCATGGGGAGAACTTAGTCTCGTTTTTGTTTTGTTTTTGAAAAATATAACAACAATATTCTCTTTTACTCTATATAGTGTTGCTCCCCTCAGAAACGCATTGAGTTGAGTCTCTTGGTCCAAATTGCTGTCAGTATTACTCTCTTCTAAGCTCCTCTAGGATGGCTCATTGATGCATGTACAGTAGTCAATCACTTCTCTAGTCCTAAGTCCCAATGTCATCTACATTTCCATGAAAACAGTGTGTGCAGGTTCTTCATGAAATAACCCACTTCATGGTACTAACTTCTCTGTGTTTCTTTCCTGTTGATGTGATAGCACACCTAGTCATGTTAATTCATAAGGTACTTAACTAAAGGTAAGGTTCCAAAAAGAGATAAGAGATCATCACTGTAGAAGAAAGTTTCTGTCCCACCTGGTCCTATAGTCATTCAGTCCAAAGGAAACAAACAAAAGCTTACATTAATTATAAACCATTTGGCCTATTAGTTCAGACTTATTGTTAACTAGCTCTTACAACTTAAATTAGCCCATAGTTCACTTTTATGTTTAGCCACGTGGCTTGGTACCTTTTCTCAGTGAGGCATTCTCATCTTGCTTCCTCTGTATCTGGGTGGTGACTGCTTCTCTGCTTTCCTCTTCACAAAATTCTCTTAGTCTGGTCACCCACCTATACTTCCTTCCTGGCTTCCGACTAATCATCATTTTATTGAACTAATTCAAGTAACAAATCTTCACAGTGTACAAGAGCATTATCACACAGCACATCACAGAGCATTTATACAAACAACTTGATTTATCCATTTAATGTTGTTCACATATATTTAAAAATAACCATATGGGATTGGATAACCTATAAGGGACTCAGTTCCAAATAACACTGATTTTCCCTCTCTCATCTGTCATCCCTTGTCTTTAACTCTTCATATAGTGGTGGGGCTTTTAAGATTATCCTCATTCACAATAACATACCAGGCTCTGTTGTCACTGTGGTGGTCCTTTAAAAGATAGGACCATACTGTTGAGAGTCCATGGGTACAGTTTCACTGTCATATATAGAAGACATCGTATACAGCAGTTTATTACTTCTTTTTCCCATCTATATTTCATACTTACTAAAGTGGTTTTCTTTTTTTCTTTTTCTCTTTTTAGTAAGGCAGCTGTGTTAATTCAAACCCAATGGCGCAGTTACATTGCACGCAGACAGATTAATTTTTCTGCAAAAATGCATTCTACCACAACAGAAGTTCTGCAAAATCCCCCCATCAATAACCAGACTACTTCAAATAAAGAAAGAAGAAAAATTATAATGAATGATCAAGAACAGAGGGAGAAGGCTGCTCTTCATATTCAGGTTATTTTCCATGTTTTGGTAGTGGAGTAGTCATAAAAATATTTTACTCCTCTTTCCCTCAGTTACTCTTTATTGGAAAATGATTCAGTGATTTAAAGTTACTTGAATTTATTTGACACTTGCATAGATTTGCAGGCCACAGGCTAACTGGCAGGTGGCTATGGTTCTGCTGATTGTCAAGGCTGTAGATAATCATCCTAAAATCTGAAATATTACGACCATGATTGTGGTTCAAGCTAAGCCACACAATGATATTTAAAACTTCTCTTCTTTGTAGAAATCCTTAACTTTCTTGATTTGATTTTATTTCAAGATATTTTATGAGGCTATTATAAATTGTTTTGTTTTCTTATTTCTTTTGCTGTATGTTTATAGTTGGTATATAGAAAAGCTACTGATGTTTTATACCTTCCCATTTATTATTATCTTCTTTACTTTCATCTTAAAGAGAATTTAATTGCACATGTAATGAATTTTGAATAAATCTACTTCCAATTTCAACATCCTATGTTCCCTCGCCATATTTGCCTCTTAAGTTTATGTGCTCTTTTAATATTGTTCCTATGGCTAATAAAAATATTCTTTAAAGTAGCAGTTTACAAAACTAACCTGAAAGTCAGTACCCTAAAATGACCATGTGGTTTCTGAACTTGAGTATACATGATTTAGATACATTAAACAATTCATGCATGTCTGGAATGACAGTGACTTGACTGTGACTCGTTTATGTGTTCTTGACTGTAGTTTGCAAGCATTTTATTGACAATTTTTAAATTTATGTCAATAAGGGATATTGGTCCATCAATCTCTTTTGTGTTATTGTTGTATATTTATTTGATTTTGAGATTGAAATGATAAAAATGTTATTCATAAGAAGAATTTGAAACTTTTCCTCTCTTTTCTATTATGGAACAGTTTGAGGAGTATTGATGTTTGTATTTTGAAGAATACTCAGAATGCTGCACTGAATCCATCTGGCCTTGAGCCTTTTTAAGTTGTGACATTTTTACTTACTGTTTCCAAGCACTACTGTCTCAATGTAGTATTTGTCAAATTTGTCATCTAAAATTTGAGTAGTGAAAGCTAATAATTTGACATAATTGATAACTATTATAGAAATATATTTCAAAACTATAGCATAATTTTAAAGTTCTAAACATGCCTGCTTCAGTTACAACCTTAGAAGTCAAGAAGTGAAAGTGAAAGAGAGGAATTCTGGTAAGAGAAGGCTTCAATGGGCCCATGGCCTATAGAAATAGAGAAGAAAGGGAAAGGAGAATCAATCAACAAAAGAAAATATGTATTAAAGAAATCATAAGCTAGAATGCTACTTTGTATGATAATTATGAAATAAATAAAAGAAAGAAAGGAAAAAAGAAAGAGAATGAAATGTGTAAAGTGCTTACGTTAGTATCACCAAGATGAGATTTCAAAATGAATTTTAACTTGATTGATTAGCATATTACTTTTATTTATTCAATGAATTTTTTGATTTTGTCTGTACTGTAGTTCATCCTTAAAATCAAAATAAATCATTTTTTTTTAAAATCACCTTAAATAACTTATGGAGTATATACAGAGCATGAATCACATTATTATATTCTAGTTGTTTCCTATTAATTTACTTTGTTTTGTACAATTATTGTGAGCATGCACACAGTTTCAAATTCATATGCAAACAAAGGTTGATTTATCAGAAAACTGATTGTTAATTTTTGAGACATGACCTGGATCTGACTCTTAAACTGGGCTGGCCTCAAGTCTCACTTAGATGTATTGTCTCTTTCTAACAAGGGGTAGGAAATTCAAGCTTCTGTTGATGTCATTTAGCATTCGTAGACAACCATTTAAAAATTAATTTCATAATTTAGTATTTTGTTTTTACATGTAAGCAATCATGCATACATATGTACTTCAATGTGTTCATGTACCTCTCCATTGATTTTATAACTCATGCATCCTAAAGCTCACTCTCGGAAAATATGAACATCATTTATTATCTAACGCATTAATGTGCTTGAGGACACAGGCTGGGGAACTTCTCTACTCCAGAATTGTTAAGGGATCTGATTGTTTTCAGCTGCATTATTGTGTGTTGACTTAATTTTTTCCCTGAAATTAATTTATTTGGGGCCATGATACTACCTCCTTAATATGGTCATTTAAATACACTGTTTTTTTTTTAATGAGCTTTGTCTTATTTTAAACCTAATGATTTGAAAATGAGCAAAAGTGACCTTTAAAAAATGTCTTTCTTCTTCACTCCGAATGGGTCCTGGAGGAATTGTCAGATAATTGATTGGCTGACCTACATGTGCAGTAGAGGGGAGTGTTAAAGATAATTCTCTACTTACCACAAAGCACGTCTCTAGAGATGCAGACACATGCGGGTCATTTAATTTATTGTGCAGTTTGACATGTCACATAAAGTTCAAGAAACAGATTATTGAGCCATTAGACTAAGTTCTGAGATGTTTTATCTTCCTAATGGGATAACACAGAGAAACTGGTTTAGGGTTTGATCTGTAACCCTGCATAACATACTTCACATTTTTGTCCAGGCAGTTTGGAAAGGCTTTATTTTACGAAGGAAACTGGCGACAGCCCTGGAGGCTGTCAGGAATGAAGAATCTGGAGAAGAATATGAAGAAATAGATTTAGAGGATTTTGAATATCATGAGGTAAGTGCCAACTACAGGCAAATACTGTTCCTAAGCTTTTGTTCTAGAGGGTTTCAAAGCTAACTCTTCAGCTGGTTGCTACAGATGTTGTAGGTCACCACCATCCTTAAATACTTTCTAGCCATTTTGTGTATTTTGAGACACTTCCTAGGGTGATTAGTATCATTATAAGATAGGTATTACTACTTCTTTCTACACTTTTCTTAATGTGTCCTCCTATTTTGTACAGTGTATAAAATATCATGAGGGTGGCTCCAAGTCATTTGTCCTCTGGAACCTGATTCTCTGGAGGTTAATGCCTTGTTTAAGCACAGAGAAAAGTTTGGCAAAACTACATTGATAGAATATTATATTTGACCTTATCCAAATTTATAGCTGTCCTCCTAATGATCAACTTTTAGTTTGAGATGTAGTTAGTAAGCCAGGCTTGTAAGTGGCAAATACTTGGCATCTGTTCCTTCATCTCCTTTGAATGGAATAATTCCTCAGCTCTGTATTTGTATTTAGTGACTATGATACTTTTAGTTAATATAATACTTCCTCTCAGTTCATACTATGAAAATATTGAATGGAAAATTCAAGATATAAACAATGTATTAATCGTTCACAGTCCTTAGGAGTGTGATGACATCTCCCACCCTCAGTCCCCATTTTATCCAGGATATGATTATTTGCTTTGCTTTGCCCTTTCTGCTGTTTCTATAGCATATGCCCTCCTGTTCACGGCACTTCTTGGATGTCTTTGTTGTTATGTCAAAAGTTGCATAATTATGTTTGTCTTTCTATTATGGTTATTTTACTCTTGTAGTTAGAAGTATAAAACTAATTGTGCTGATAATTTTTACAGTCTGTAAGAAAACATATTCTGTTTTATTATTCAATATTGTTTTGAAATACTTATAAATATTTTAAAAATTACACTTTATCAAAGCTATATATATATATATATGAAAGTAGTGAATCTAAGACTTGATGTTACCTGTGGTTCCATGTTCCCAGTGAGGTTCTTGGATCTTATCTCTACTCAATAACTCCATCAGTTATTTTGAAATTGTTGGTTGCATTTGAACATAGTGACACATCAGTGAGAAGTCATTATTTATCATGGAAAATATTATTTTTAATAATAAATTTCCAGTTATTTTGAAAATAATTTAAGTGCTTTTCAAATCATATTTATAGGTTAATTATAATATCATTCTAGTTTAGCTATCATTGTAAATTTCTCTCTGTTGGTTTACGAACATAATTTACCCAAGTTTTGGTGACATGAAATAAGCGAGTCAGAACCATGTTTCTTGTTGATAAAAAGTAGTAACAATTAGTTCAAAATGCTGCTATATAACGACATGTATTTATGAGATAATGGGTTCTGCTCCCTTATTGTAATGCCAACAGAAAAATACAATTTTATAGGTAGCCACATTAGAAACTGTGAAGTTTTCCTTTATAGTTCTTGTGACCAGATACTTTGCTGAAATTAGTACTGACTCTAGTGGGTAATCTGTCAACATTTCTAAATACCATATATGTACAGATATGTCATCTACAAATAACAAAAACTTTTGGTTTATTCTTAAAAAACTTTTATTTTTCTATTTATTATTTTTATATGTTTTAGTATTTCTTTCTTTAGTCTCTCGATTTCTATGCCTAGAGTAATTTGAGTCGTGTTAATTACAACAAATAATTTTTTCTGACTCTCTCATGATGGAAACTTTTAACATGTAGGCACTAAGTCATCTTTTCTAGAAGCAGTGCGTTGTGAACTTTCCTAACAGTTGCAGATTACAGTAGTGGTGGTGATAATGATGTGTGTGTATGTGTGTGTGTGTGTGTGTGTGTTTTAATTTTATCAAATAGTTTTCATATATAAATCACTGGGTTCCTAATACAAAATTAAGTAATTTAGTACAATGCACTTATGAATATATCAGTTGTTTGGACTTGTTAAATATTGTTTAGTTTTATTTTTTTAATCTGTATTTGAAAAACTATCAAGCCTATAAATTGTCTTTCTTCTCTAGCTTTTCAGGATTTGGTTTGAAGGATATCTTGGTCTAGTATATTTGGATTTGATGTGGTTTTTGTCTTTTTATTTCCAGAAAGACTTTGTTTGAGGACTGGTAACTGTTAGATTGTAAAAGTCGAAAGACATGCTCCATGTAAACATAAAAGAGATGAGGCTAGGGAGTTAGTGCGCTAGTTCAAAACAGAATAATTTTCTAGAAATTCCACATCGCCAGTAGCTCACAACCACAACCACTAAGTAGATCAGGGGAATATGACCTGACTCCCCCTGTTGGCCTCAAAGAGCATTGCATTCATGTGTACAAACCCAAACACAGATACAGATATACACATGATTTTTAAAGAGAAATGCATACTCTGCAATCAATAAGTAAATTGCTCTTCTTTTTTCATGTGTGTATATCTGGTTTGGGACACAAGTAGAGGATGGAGGAATATGTCTACTATTATGACTGCTATCCTGTATTGTATATGTATATGTATCCCATGTATTGTATATGTATATGTATATATATTTGAGACAGTGGTATGACTGAACCTGGAACTTTCCAATGGGAAAGGATGGCTAACAAACTCCTGGGGATCTTCTGTCACCCTGACAGGCAGGGAGATTGCAGGTGCACACCGCAGCTGTAGTTTTACTTGGGGCTGAGATTGGAACTCGTGTCCCCGTCCTTACATAGCCAGCACTTCACTGACTCAACCATCTTCTAGCACAGATTGCTTTGGAACTCTTGATTCTTAAAAAAATATTTTCTTCTGTTTTAAGGTAATCTTCAATCCCCCGAGTGATTTGTGAGCTACTAAGGAAAAATAATAAAATCTCTTATGATTATAGGTATTTTAAAAACAACATTTAGCTTTTTATGATAGTGGAGACTTTGGTAGGAACATATACTTAGGATAATTAAGTCATTGCATCCCTCAGCCATCGGTAATACACTCTCCCTTTCTGCTCTAGTTTCTCTGCTGAACAAACTGACTTAAAGATATTTGCTCTTTATTTATGCCTACACAGATTTCTTTGGTAGTGCTTTCCCTATTATTATCTCTTTTCCATTTGTCCTGTCTGTTCTATGTATAGTTTTTTTTTAATTGATTATAAATAATATCATTCAAAATTTCCACTTCCTTCCCTCCTTCCCCTCCTCCTCTCCCCCTCCCCCCCCTCCAGTCCTAAGAGAGGGCACCTGTGGGAAGTCCAAGGCCCTCCCCTCTCCATCCAGGCCTAGGAAGCTGTGCATCCAAACAGATTAGGATCCGAAAAAGCCAGTACATGCAGTAGAGACAAATCCCAGTGCCATTATCATTGGCTTCTCAGTCAGTCCCCTTTGTCAGCTACATTCAGAGAGTCCGGTTTGATCACATGCTCGTTCAGTCCCAATCCAGCTGGCTTTGGCAAGCTCCCCTAAGATAAGGCACACTGTCTCGGTGGGTGGACCAACCCCTAGCGGTCCTGACTTTTTTGCTCATCTCCCTCCTTCTGCTCTTCAACTCGATCTTGGGAGCTCAGTCCAGTGCTCTGATGTGGGTGTCTGTCTGTCTCTATTTCCATCCATCGCCGGACGAAGGTTCTATGATGATAGTCAAGATATTCATCAGTGTGACTAGTTGAGAGTGGGGGTAGGGTTATGGGAAGGGGAGAAGGCTAGAGAGAAGGGAGAAGGGGAGGATTGGGGAGAGCTTGGGGGAGTGGGATGGTTGAGATGGAAGAAGGGCAGATATGGGAACAGGGAAGAAGATATCTTAATTAAGGGAGTTATTTTAGGGTTAGCAAGAGACTTGACTCTAGATGGATTCCCAGGTGTCCACGGGTATGTCCCCAGCTAGATCCTTGGGCAGTAGAGGAGAGGGTGCCCATGTATAGTTTTTAAGTTTTCTCTTAACCCCTCCTTTTGCTTTTGTTCTTGTACCTCTTTCATTTGATTTTTACTTGGCCTTTGGCCTTCTCTATTCCCTTTATTTGTTCCTGAATAACCACATGTCTAACTAGGATCATTTTTCTTTGACTGACAGGATCTCCCTAACACTTATTCTACTTTTTGAAGATTTGACGGATTGTCAATTTCATTTCTTTGCTCTTTCTCTTTTTGCTGTTGCTTAATGTGAGCATAAGTGACTGAATTTTCCCAGCTTGGGTTGAGATTGATCAAAATTCAGCTCTAACTCTATAAGTCAGTTCATTTAGATTCCACAGAGATAAGTATGATCACAAGGGTTTTCTCTTCCAGTGCCCTCCAGGATCTTCTGTCTTATTTTGTCTGAATACCATATATAGGAATCCTACATTTTCTATGTCCACTCATGATGGATATTTAAGTTAATTCCATACCCTAACTATTATACCTGGCACTGTAATGAACATGGGGAACATCTCCTTTTCTTTAGCATGTTGTTTTCATTTCTTTCGTGAGTAGAGAAATTTTGGGGTCAGATGATCTTTTTTAGTTTCATGTTTAGCTTTATAGGGATATCTATGCTCTTTCCCTTTATAAATTGTGGTAATGGTCTTTCTTGCAAACAATGTAAAAAAGCTAATTCTTCTTCCCACCCTGTTGTGGTCTTGTTATCATTTGCCTTTTCTATTAGTAGCAATCTTTCCTACATGCAATGACATATCACTGCATTTTTAATGTATGTTTTCCTGAATATATCATGTTGAATATTTCTCATATAATCTTGTTCATTTGTGTCGTTTGTGTCAATCGTGTTGGTCATTTGTTCAGACCCTTTGTTTATCTTCTTTTAAATCAAGGTTAAAAAAGAAACCTTTTTAAATGTGTTTTTCATTGTGTAGGTTTTAGGTTTTGTTCATTTTGTTTTTCAAGGGCTAGGTACTGATCTCAGGGTCTTATTTAAGCTAGATAAGAACTGCTTCATACACATTCCTGGGGAATAGTTCCGAGTTTCTTTCACATGTCACCTGATAACTCCTTACCAGTTGTGTAGCATGCAATTTATTCATTTAA